ATGGATTTAAGAAGATTGTGATATGTTAATTGTGGATTTATTGTTAATCCCCATTCTAGAATTATGGTATTGACCTGGTGATGTTTGTAGCTGCTTATAAGATGTTGAGAAAAGTTTGACAAGCCCTGTAAATGTTTGGGTTTAATGCATGTGTTCAGAATTTTAGATTTTGATAACAATGTAAAAAATTTAAGAGGTGCTCTAGACCAGCTGAAGGAACATTTTCAACTCATGTGATCCTCCTCTCTTTTAAGGAGGAGACTGTAGTCTTTAGGAGCATGAATGTTCATAAAACATTATGATCTCTCCTGACTAGAAAGTATGGCTCCGAGACACAGAGCCCAAAGGTATCTCTCTCCCCTAATCTCTTTTGTTCACAGAGGTTGGCAGTCAGAGACGGGTTTGAAGCTTCTTCTCCCCAGGTGCCTAAGACAGGAGCTTGCATGAATGGAATGCCTGTTCCAAGGATGGGTAAATTTGGGCATATGGAGAAGTCTTTGCCTAATGCACACTTGATAATCTGTCTTGTTGCAGAAGCAGACTTTATTAAAATTAGTAAGAGGTGAGTGGATTGTAGGGCATCTTACAGGTCCATATTTCTACAGTGTACGGCAGCCAGACTCTCAGGCCAGTGTGCGCCTGGCCACACAGAAGGTGGTCACCTAGCCTTTCCAGACAAACTGATGCCACCCTAAATAAAGGATCAGGATATGTTACTGTCGCTCTGCTCCTTTGTAATTTGGGAGTTCGCCTGGGAAAGAAGTGTTAATTCAGTTTACGTGACAGAGCAGGCATAGATAGGAAGACGACAAAATGGGCATAGAAATTTATGGATGTGACCACAGTCATTCTCCTGGTTACCTAGGAAACAGAATGCTAATGAACTTCCCCCTCAGTCTATGTTTTGGTATAAAAGCTGTTTGGAGGAAAACTGCAGGCGAGTGTTTCAGAATGTGAACTCAGGATTTCATGAGGGATCCCTAAAAACTCCCTCCTGATAAAGTCATGTGAGTTTTGTCTTTATTCCCATGCCTCTCTGCTGGTCTGAGAAATAATTTATGGCCTGGGCTGGTACCTGGACCACGACATGCCACCATTGCCCAACTTCTAACATCCATTCTTACACACACGAGGGGGGGCTATGGAAAGAATTCTCATGAATTGCGATTATTATATAGAATGTAGTGGTCAAGGAGCCAGTAGAGATGAGAGAGGGCCAGACAGACAGCTCAGGGGTGAGAGCACATACTCTGTGTTCTAGCTGATGTGATAAAAGACAGATCAAAACAGACTCGGGAAGAAAGGGTTTATTTCAGTTTATCCCTCTATAGTCACAGTCCATCTTGGAGGGAAGTCAGGGCAGGAACTCGAGGCAGGTATCTGGAGGCAGGAACGGAAGCAGAGGCCATGGATGAGTGCTGTTTAGTGGCTTTCTCTTCTGGCTTGGTCAGCTACTTTTCCTAGAGATGGCACTGCCCATGTGGGCTGGGTCTTGCTACATTAATCGGCAATGAAGAAAATGCCTCATAGACTTACCCATAGGCCAATATGCTAGAGGTATTCTCTCCAGATAAATCAAGTTGGCAATCAAGATTGGCCATCACACTCTGCACCCATGAGGGCCTGAAATGCAAATCTTAGCATCCATGTAAAAAGCTGAGCATGGTCACATGCCTATGGCCCTATCACTGTGGAAGGTAGAGACGGGAGGCTACCAGCCTAGCTCCAGGTTCAGTGAGAGACTGTCTTGGCAAGTGATAGAAGACACGTGACGTCCTGCTCTGGCCTCTGTGTATATGCATATGCACACACATACCCATGTGTGTGCACCGCAGACACATATCAGAGTACACTGACAGGCTATCTGAGAACGAGCAGGAACTAATCATCTTGAAGAGATATGGAAGCTTTCAGTAAACGTAATAGGAATAACCTCAGTGGTTGAGAGCACTGGCTGCTCTTCCACAGGACCCAGGTTTGAGTCCCAGCACCCACATGGTGGCTCACAGCCATCTGTATCTCCAGCTCCAGGGGATCTGAATCCTCTCCTGGTCTCCTTGAGCACCAGGCATTCAAGGACACAGACATATATGCAGACAAAAGATGAAAAGGCTAGACCCATGAATAGGGAAATTCATTTAACAGTATTAGTGCTCTCCAAATAAACATTTATACTCAACTTAAGGCTACAATGAAGTTTTAAAAATTTGTGTGTGTGCCTGGAGGTCAGAGACAGGCCTCTCACTGGGACCCAGGGCTGCTGGGTCCTCAGTGAACCTCAGGAATCCTCCCTTTACGTCAGCAGTGCTGGGACTACAAGCACATGACACCTCATGCAGGTTTCCATTGGGTTTTGGGGACAAACCTGGGTCACCATTCTTTAAAAGCAAACATTTTACAGGCTGTGCTGCCTCCCAACCCTAATTTTTTTGAGCCAGGAGATTTAGCCAAAGCTGATCCCAAACTTCTAGTGATCCTCCTGCCTCATCCTCCACATTCTGGGATTACAGGCATGAGCCACCACCACCTGGTTCAGGCAGTCTTTAAAAACTATGAAATAGCACACACCTTTAATCCGTGCACTCCAGAGGCAGAGGCAGGCGGACTTCTGAGTTGGAAGCCAGCCTGGTCTACATAGTGAGTTCAGAGACAGCCAGGGATACACAGAGAAACTGTCTTGAAAAGCCAAAATAAATAAGTAAAAAGTATAAAAACAGTTTATTTGCATAGGAAGAGTTCCATCTCTTTATGTTTTCTTCCGAGACAGGGTTTCTCTGCGAAGCCTGAAACTCATGCTGTAGACCAACCGGCCTCAGAGACTCACCGTCCTCTGCTGGGATTAAAGGGCTTTGCCATCACCTGGCTAGAAGAGCCTCTTTCCTTGCTAGATGAGGATGCTCGTACCTGTAACCCAGAGTTTGGAGACCGAGACAGGCGAGTCCTTAAGTTTCATGCCAGTGTGAATTAACAGTGAGATTCTGTCTTAAATCAAACAAGACAAAACACACCCTAAGAGTCAGTGGTTGGAGATGCTCAGAGGTTGTGCTCTTGTAAAAGACAAAGGTTTGGTTTCTAACACCCACTCGGTGACTCATAACCATCTATAGTTTTACTTCCAAAGGATCCAGTGCCCTCTTCTGGCCTTCTGAGGCACTGCACATACATGGTAAACATACCTAAATGCAAACAACAGCTCATACATATTGAAGATAAATAAAATCTTTAAAACATAAGACTCAGGGAGCTGGAGAGATGGCTCAGAGGTTAAGAGCATTGCCTGCTCTTCCAAAGGTCCTGAGTTCAATTCCCAGCAACCACATGGTGGCTCACAACCATCTGTAATGAGGTCTGGTGCCCTCTTCTGGCCTGCCGACATACACACAGACAGAACATTGTATACATAATAAATAAATAAATATTTTAAAAAAAAAACAACATAAGACTCAGTACCTTAAAGACAGAAGTTATCCCCTGGCTATAAGAAATATGATTCCAATAAAAAGTTTTGTCTGAAATAATAGTACTATAGTAGTAATAATAGTAATACATAAAAGTAATAATGGATGTGGTGGTTCACGCCTTTAATCCCAACAAACATGGGCAGAGGCAGGTGAATTTCTGAGTTCAAGACCAGCCTGGTCTACAGAATCATTTCCAGGACAGCCAGAGTTACACAGAGAAACGTTTCAATGCCCCCCCAAAGTAAACATGAGCAAAACAAGCAGGAACTCTGAGAGCATGGGTGGGTTCAGCATCAGAAAACTTAGAGCTCGTTAGAGGAGCTGGTTTGCTAAGTGAAAAGTGGGTCCTTCCCTCAGACTATTACGCCTCTGAATAAATCCCAAACGGTCCAAGTGAAAAAAATGACATTTTGCCGGGCAGTGGTGGCACATGCCTTTAATCCCAGCACTCGGGAGGCAAAGGCAGATGGATCTCTGTGAATTCGAGGCCAGCCTGGTCTACAAGAGCTAGTTTCAGGATAGGCTCCAAAGCTACAGAGAAAACCTGTCTTGAAAAACCTAAAACTACAACAACAAAAAAACCCAAAACAAAAACAAAAAATGACATCTTTCACATACTCTAAGGAAACTTTGGGATTCAAAATATTGCACAATCTAGGGAAAGCAGGGTAAACAATCCAGGCAGTTGTGTTGACTCTGTGGGTACCACACAAGCCTGGTGACCTGAGTTTGATCCCCTGAACCCACATCAAGGATAAAAATCTTTCAGAAAAGCCAGCCAAATAGCTGGAAAAATATATCTGCAACTCATATCACAAACTATTGTCATACCTAACGCCACTAATACAAATCAACAACTAGAGTCAGTAAAAACAAATCGAGGGGAGAAATGGATAGAGAATGTGGACAGTCAGCCGGGTGGTGGTGACACACACCTTTAATCCCAGCATTCCGGAAGCAGAGGCAGGCAGATTTCAGAGTTGGAGAACAGCCTAGTCTACAGAGCAAGTTCCAGGACCGCCAGGGTCAGCCTTCAGGAAGCAGAGGGCAGAGGCAGGTGGATCTCAGAGTCAGAGGCCAGTCAACTGCAGAGTGAGTTCCAGGACAGCCAGGGCTATACAGAGAAACCCTGCTTCAAAAAACAACAAAACCAATCAATCAAACAAACAAACAAAATATGTGGACAGTCATGAGAGAGGAAAAGTCAGATTTTTGTGGTGCTGGGAACCAGGCCTAGAGACTTACTTTAGCATTCTAGGCAAGGGCTCAACCACTGAGCCATACCCCAGCCCCTCACTGGGGGATTCTAGGCAGGGGCTCTACCACTGAGCCACACTCCAGCCCCTCACTGGGGGATTCTAGGCAGGGGCTCTACCACTGAGCCACACCCCAGCCCCTCACTGGGGGATTCTAGGCAGGGGCTCTACCACTGAGCCACACCCCAGCCCCTCACTGGGGGATTCTAGGCAGGGGCTCTACCACTGAGCCACACCCCAGCCCCTCACTGGGGGATTCTAGGCAGGGGCTCTACCACTGAGCCACACCCCAGCCCCTTACTGGGGGATTCTAGGCAGGGGCTCTACCACTGAGCCACACCCCAGCCCCTCACTGGGGGATTCTAGGCAGGGGCTCTACCACTGAGCCATGTCCCCAGCCCCTCAGTGGGGTTAGTGTGCTATCATTAGGTTATTCTAGGCGAGTGTGCTATCACCAAGAAAGCCCCCTTTTGATTCTTAAATGAAAATATAGCTTACGTTAAATCCTTGAAACTGATACACCCTTTTCCAGGCTGGTAATCACTAAATGTCTGACAGTTGAACACATTGGTGAGACAATCAGAAAATATCCATTTACCAACCACTGGTGGGAGTGTACAGAGATCAATCAGTTGTATCTGTAAAGTTACAAAGGCAACCTTTTGGCCCAGGACAGTCACTTCTAGAAATCAGAGTATAGACATTACCAAGAGCAAAAAGCCTAAGAAGCTAGTGAGATGAACCATCGATTTTATGGAGATTTAAAGGAAAAATAAGAAAAATGTGGTCTCTATCACCATCAAGTATAAGACGTATTCCAACTTGAGAAGGTAAACATGAGAAATGAGTTCAGAACCAAAGCAGCACCGGGTGATAAACACTGGAGATGCCCGGCAGAGGGGAAGAGGATGGGAAACGGCCCAAGCGTCCAGCATCCTTCTGGTTGATCACAGCATAGCCACAGAATGCAAACACAGCTTTAAGGAGTAAATATACTGGCTGGGAAGGTTCTTCAAGATATTTCCTCAATAAAATCACAACATGTAAACCAAAATACGTCAACTTTGTGACGAAATAAAAAAAATATATGTGTATATATAATAAAAGTAGGAAGGAAACTGACGTTGGGGGCAGCATTAGGTATGGGGACAAGAAGGGAAGGACAAAAGACTTCAGTCTTCATATTCTTGGTGCTTATGAATAGATGACTTACAAAAAAAAAAACAAGAAAAAGAAAAACTTTTGGAAAATGGAATCCAAATTCCAGAAATTTGATATGTCTGAAAACACTACTTATCACATACTATATACAATATTTATGTTGCTTGCCATTCCCAATGTCTCAGAAACACAAAGTGAGTCTTAACTCTTCAGTCTCATTGCCTCGGACATGAGAGGAGTGCTAACAAAGGTCAAGTACTTGACATAAACTTGGTCCTGAAACCAGTTTAAACTCTCTCTTTCTTCATCGTGGGCTCTTTTACTGGCAATTTTCTTTCAGTCTCAAAATTTTACAAAACCATCCTTTGCTCATTACCGAAGCCACATGGATGGATGTTTTTCCTAACTCAAGAAACGTCACAGGAGTCTAAAGATGCTTTGGACATTCCCCCCCACCCCCACCCCAAATTTCTGACGCCTTTTTCCTCCCTCCAACGATGCACGCTGACTATTCTTAAGATCCTTTTGACTTCCGAAAACCAAGTTGTAGGATGGGGTTTGTCTTGGATGCCGAGGCCTTCTTGATGCCGTGCCCACCCTCGCCTGCCTCCTCACTCTCTATGGATGAACTTATCGCAACCCAGTTCTTCTATGAGAGGATTGATCACCTCCGACGCAGTCAGGGCTATGGTAAACGTTAAAATGTCAAAATCCACCCTCTGAGGGTTGCGCAGGTACTCTATGTCGAAGGCTGCCTCCCGGGCTCTGCAGGCCTCCACGAAGCGCCGCCGGCGCTCCTCCAGCTCCTGGATCCGGCCCGGGGCGATCGGGTAGTTCTCCAGGTAGTGGCGCAGGAACTGCTGGTAATTGATGCCTAAGACGCTGAGGGGGTGGCGGAGGCGCAGGTACGGCATCGCCGCCAAACCGCCCGCCCTGGACCGGGGCCTGCCCTCAGGCGCCTCCTCCTCCAGCGGCTCGCCCAGCAGCCGGGCCACCTCCGCCATCCGGGCTTCCCTGGACGCCGGCGCCATCGGGCCTTCGCGGGCCGCCGCCGCGGGGGCTCCCCGGGCCTCCGCCGCCCGGCCTTCTCGAGCTGCAGCCACCCGGCATCCCCTGGCCGCCACTCCCGGGGCTGCGGGGCCTTCCCGGGCCGCTGCCATCGGGCCTCCCCGGATCTCCTCCGGTCGCGCCGGGCCCGGGAGCGCACGCCGCCCGCCGCCTACCTCGGCCTGCGGGAGCCCACGGTCGCCGCTCGCTGCGCCCGTCTGCTGGGCGCTGCTGACTGCGGGCAGCTGGGACATGTCGGACCGCGGGGTCAGCACTGCCGCTCGCGGAGACCCGGGAATAACGGGACGACGAGACGCGGGGCGTGCACGCGAGGGCGCGTACACGAGCGCAGTGCGCAACGGGAAAACGGCGCGTGCCCCGCCGCCCGCGCAGGCGTAGCTCCAACAGCGAAGCGGAGGAGCAGTGCGCGTGCGTCTCGTCCGGGCGCTTAGGGGTGAGCCTTGAGATTGCCACCTAGCGGTCAGAAGAGCCGTTGCACCCTTTCGGTTGAGGGTGGGGCTCTGTTTTATATTCCTACCAATCTGTTTCTAGTTTCAGCTTTAGTTTCAATTAGTCTTTAAAGACTTGTTTATTTGTATTTTATGTGTATGAGTGTTTTGCTTGCATGTTTGTAAGTCCGCCGTATGCATATAATGCCGGAAGAAGTCGGAAGAGAGATCCTCTGCTGAACCTTTACCAGAGTAGCCAGTGCTCTTAACTTTGGAGCCACGTCTTTACCCCTAGGTTCTGTTTTTGAAAGAGTTTGTCACCAAGCCCAGACAGCCAAGGATGACCTTGAAGGAGAAAACTGACTCCCAAAAGAAGTTCTCTGAATTCTTCCTGTGTGCAAGCACAAAATAATTGTAAAGAAAAGAACCAAAACAATAACAACAAAAAAGCCCTGTTGTAGTGGCACACGCCTTTAATTCCAGCACTTGGAAGGCAGAGATAGGTGGATCTCTGTGAGTTCGAGGCCAGCCTGGGCTACAGAGCAAGTTCCAGGACAGCACTAAAGCTATAATATAGAGAAACCCTGTCTCAAACAAACAAACAAACAAACAAAAAAAGAACCGAGCCAGTCAGTAGTGGCTCACACTTTAATCCCAGCACTCGGGAGGCAGAAACAGGCAAACTCTGTGAGTTTGAGGTCAGTCTGGTCTACAAAGTGAGTACAAGGACAACAAAGGCTACACAGAGAAACCTGTCTAGAAAAAAAAAAACAAAGAAAAACCAACAAACTGAACATTAAAAGAGAGCCGATGTCTGCTGAGAGTTCGCTGCCCACACGTTGCGCTGAACTCTGGTGAAGCTGTGGGAACAAACGGCTTGGCATGTACTGGCAGCCAAGGCTGAAGCCTTTCCCTTCTTTGGCGTCACCATTTTCTCTTAGTCAATTACCCATTTTTCTTTGTGGACTCCTTTAAATACTCTTCCCCGAAATCAGATCCCAAGTTGAGAAATCACCTTTGGAAACTGCAGGGTTTTCTGACCTCCAGACTGACTGATGCTGGCCATGTGGTACTTTAATGGCTATGTCTAGCTGAGATTGCACAATTCAGGGTCTGACGCAGACGGGAAAGACGGGATTAGAGCAGGCTGCTCAAGCAGGGTGACAAACTGCGTCTGTTTCTCCCACAACACAGGAAGGCTGTCAAGACAGAAGGGGGTGTTATCACTTGGGGGCTTTGGTAGTTCTGTTTGTATCTACCCCTTTATACAGCAGGGCTCCCCCTCAGACCCCCAGCTAGACACAAACCACACCCAAACACCTGTTTCACAGAGATTCATTATTAAACAGGGAAGAAAAATTAAAAGTGGCTGCTTTCAGACTCGGGCAGAAAAACAGCCCCAAATAACCTTGCAGGTGTAATTTTTTTTTTTTTTGGTTTTTTTCGAGACAGGGTTTCTCTGTGGTTTTGGAGCCTGTCCTGGAACTAGCTCTTGTAGACCAGGCTGGTCTCGAACTCACAGAGATCCGCCTGCCTCTGCCTCCCAAGTGCTGGGATTAAAGGCGTGCGCCACCACCGCCCGGCTGCAGGTGTAATTTTAAGAGGAGAAAAAAGGGAGGTCTACATTAGAATGTACTAGCACTTGGTATATTTTGATTGGGCATGTTAATTTGACGAACCAAATGGGGGTTTTTGAGTGCTGGACTCAGTACTTTGATAGCTGGACCTTGGTAGTCAGTCTCAGGAAGAGGCAGTGGCCAAATAAGGGACTAGACATTGGTGGCTAGCTTTAGGAATGTAATCTAATGGTTTTTATTAGCAAGGCAGGGGGAATGGGGAAAAGGGCAAGGCCTGCCAGAGCCACATGCTGGAGTGGGCTAGACTCCCTTCAGTACATACACATCTCCTTATCCCAGATAAGGAGAGCACACAATAGACCCAGCAATCCAAATCAGACCAAATCAAACCAAATTAGAAAAAGCCCAGGTTTAATGCGTAAAATGCTCCGAGATGATTTTCCATTCCCCCCCCCCACCCCCCATAGGAGACAGGAAAGAGAGACCGGAAAACCACATGTCTGTTTTCTGGTGGGCAGTTTAAATACACTGTGGGAGTGATCTTGAGCATCTCTGGGGGAGTGGTCACCATTTGGCAGGCTTTCTGAGATATGGCAGGGTTTGGAGAGAGTTGGGGGAGGGGGCTTGGGGCAGAACTTCCCCCAGAACAGATATCACCTGTCTTAGTTAGAGTTTCTATTGCTGTGAAGAGATGCCGTCACCATGGCAACTCTTATGAAGGAAACATTTAATTGAGGTGGCGCTTTATGGTTTCAAAAGTTTAGTCCATTAACATCATGATGGGGAGCAAGGCAGCTGGGTGAATGGCGGCATGCAGACAGATATGGTGCTGGAGAACTGTGGTAGTTTGAATGTAATTAGCCCCCATAATCTCACAGGGAGTGACACTATTAGAAGGTGTGTGACTTTGTTGGAGTGGGTTGGTGTGGCCTTGTTGGAGGAAGAATGTCACTGTGGGGATGGACTTTGCGGTTTCCTATTCTCAGGGTACCACCCTGTGTCTCAGGTGACTTCCCCTTGCCTTCAAAATGTAAGACTCATCCTGTACAATAAAAGAACTTCGGGAGGCATCACAATCCCTGACTTCAAACTCTACTACAGAGCTACAGTACTGAAAACAGCCTGGTATTGGCAAAACAGAAAGGAGGACCAATGGAACCGAATAGAAGACCCGGATATCAATCAACACATCTTCGAACACCTGATCTTTGATAAAGAAGCAAAAATATCAAATGGAAAAAAGAAAGCATATTTAACAAGTGGTGCTGGTATAACTGGATATCAACATTCAGAAAAATGAAAACAGACCCATATCTATCACCATGCACAAAACTCAAATCCAAATGGATCAAAGACCTCAACATAAAACCAGCCACACTGAACCTTATAGAAGAGAAAGTGAGAAGTACACTTGAACGCATTGGCACAGGAGACCACTTCCTAAATAGAACCCCAGTAGCACAGACACTAAGAGAAACAACTAATAAACGGGACCTCCTGAAACTGAAAAGCTTCTGTAAAGCAAAGGACATGGTCAACAAGACAAAATGACAGCCTACAGAATGGGAAAAGATCTTCACCAACCCCACATCAGACAGAGGTCTGATCTCCAAAATATACAAAGAACTCAAGAAATTGGACACCAAAAGATCACATAATCCAATAAAAAATGGAGTACAGACCTAAACAGAGAACCCTCAACAGAGGAATCTAAAATGGCTGAAAGACACTTAAGGAAATGTTCAACATCCTTAGTCATCAGAGAAATGCAAATCAAAACAACTCTGAGATTTCATATAACACCTGTAAGAATGGCCAAGATCAAAAACACTGATGATAACTTATGCTGGAGAGGTTGTGGGGAAAAGGGAACACTTCTGTATTGCTTGTGGGAATGCAAGCTGACACAACCCCACTGGATGTCAGTGTGGTGATTTCTCAGAAAATTAGGAAACAACCTTCCTCAAGACCCAGTAATACCACTTTTGGGTATATATCCAAAGGATGCTCAATTGTATCACAAGGACATGTGCTCAACTATGTTCATAGCAGCATTGTTTGTCATAGCCAGAACCTGGAAACAGCCTAAATGCCCCTCGATGGAAGAATGGATAAAGAAAATGTGGTACTTTTACACAAGGGAGTACTACACAGCAGAAAAAAATGACAGCTTGAATTTTTCAGGAAAATGGGTGGAGCTAGAAAACATTATTTTGAGTGAGGTAACCCAGACACAGAAAGACAATTATCACATGTACTCACTCATAGGTGGTTTTTAAATATAAAGCAAAGAAAGCCAGCCTACAAACCATGATCCCAGAGAACTCAGACAACAATGCGGACACTAAGAGAGACTTACATAGATATAATCTACATGGCAAGTAGAAAGTAGAAAAAGACAAGATCTCCTGAGCAAATTGGGAGCATGGAGACCTTGGGGGAAGGTTGAAGGGGGGAGGGGAGAGGGGGGAGAGGAGCAGAGAAAAATGTAGAGCTCAATAAATATCAATAAAAAATGTATAAAAAAGGATGTAGGACTCTTGGCTGTTTCTTCAGTACCACATCTGCCTGCCTGCTGCCATATTTCCCGCTATGATGACACTGGACTGAACCTCTAAAACTGTAAGTGAGCCCCCTCATTAAATATTTTCCTTATATGTCCACTCTCTCCATATCTATTCAATATAGTACTCGAAGTTCTAGCTGGAGCAACAAGACAACAAAAGGAGATCAGAGGGATACAAATTGAAAAGGAAGAGGTCAAACTTTTGCTATTTGCTGGTGATATGATAGTATAGAAATATGACCCCAAAAATTCTACCAGGGAACTCCTTCAGTAATGTGACAGGATGCAAGATTAACTAAAACAAAATGTAGCCCTCCTGTATACAGATAATAAGCAGGCCGAGAAATAAATCAGAGCAACATTACCCTTCACAATAACCACAAACAACATAAAATATCTTGGGGTAACTCTAACCAAACAGGTGAAAGACCTGTATGACTAGAACTTTTATTCTTTGAAGAACGAAATTGAAGAGGACATCAGAATATGGAAAGACCTCCCGTGCTCATGGGTAGTAAAAATGGCAATCTTACAAAAACAATCTACAAATTCAATGCAGTACTCATCAAAACCCCAGCACAATTCTTTGCTAACCTCAAAAGAACAATACTAAGTTTCATATGGAGAAACAAAAAAGCCAGGATAGTCAAAACCACCTTGTACAGTAAAGGAACATCTGGAAGCAACACCACCCTCGACTTCAAGCTCTATTACAGAGCTACAGTAATGAAAACAGCTTGGTATTGGCATAAAACACACAGGTGTATCAATGGAACCGAATAGAAGACCCGGATACTAACCCACACACCTATGAACTACTGATCTCTGACAAAGAAGCTAAAAATAAAAAATGGAAAAAAGAAAGCATCTTCAACAAATGGTGCTGGTATAACTGGATGTTGATATGTACAAGAATGCAAATAGATCCACATCTATTAC